AGGGACAGCCTGGGCTACACATAACATAGCAGACCTTGGTTAAAAGAGATGGCCTGGAAAATACAGTCTCATTCCCAGCTTGCCTAGCATCTTGAGGCCTGGGTTCCAATCCCCAACACCAAAAAAATAAATTTTTTTTAATATAAATAAAAAGAAAAAGAAAAGAACAAGAATCTCACCAGGCTCATGATGTACAATGCCCTTTGGTTAATCCTACTGGGAGGACTGAGGCATAAGGAGGATCATCAGTTTTTTTAAAGATGTAGCCTGATACTACCTAGCAAGACCTGTATCAAAAGAGAATAAAAAAATTTAAAAAAATAAATCTCAGGACTCTAGCCGAAATCAAGTAAAGTCACAAACAACTCAGGGTCCTTTGTGTACCTTAGCCACGGTGGCACCTTCTTGTCACAGGTGTATACAAACATCTAGATAAGTGAATTTAAGTCACTACTGAATGCAAACTGCATGGGATACCATGCAGCATAAAATGCTCACAAAAACTTTTGATCTATATGCTAGGGCCACAAAAACAGCAATGGAAAGTCAAACCAGGAAATCAAAAGCACACCAGAGAGAACGATCTGGCAAGAGCAAATTCTGAGAACACTACGAGGTACCAGAAATCACCTAGCGCAACCTTCCCAAATGTACCACTGGCAAACACAGAGGCAGGCAGCTGATCACACTTCCCCATAGCCTGGGAAAGAAACAAATACAGCTGAGGAGATCAAAATTTCATCCAGGGGTACAGTCAAAAAGAATTCAGAGCTGGGGCGTGGCACAAGCGCTAGAGCATCACTGAGTTTAAACACCAGTGCCATTTTTTAAAAAAAGAAGAATCAGAGGAGCTGGGGATGTAGCTTGCCTTGTATCATCAGGGCCTGGGTTCTATCCAGATGCACATGCAACAACAAAAAGCATTCAGAAATGAGGAGCATGTGAGTGAAGCAACAGATAATTCTGCCAGACCCCTAACCTCAAAGCTCATCATGGAAGTTCGGAGCAAAGCCAAACCAGAAAACAATGTTCTAAAAAAGTTTTTCACTGTTTTTTTATCAATTATAGAAATTGTTGAAACTTTCACATGTCTACAAATTTCTCTCTAGTGTTAACAGTACTTGCATCTTACTTCTTCTCATCCCATCCTGTGATCACCTAAACCATTCTATCCTATTTGTATCTCTTGACCTTGTCCATTAAATTTCTAATTTTATTACATATCTGTGTTCTGTGTTGCTCAAAATCTATAGCACATGCAATGAGACATAGTTTCAAATAATATTTGCATAATATGCTCAGCGGAAAAAGAAATGTTGCAGAAATCACTTTGAACAGCACCACCATCACCTGATGGCCAGCAAAGCTAAAAATCTATTTCCCCATTCCACCCACTCCTGCTTTGCTACAGCTTGTTGACTTTCCCGGAAACTAACAGCCCCAAAGTAGGATCTTGAGAAGGGAGGGGACAGAGGGGCAAAAGATGACAGCCCAGCAGCAAAAAGCTGCCTCAGAGCTTCAGCTCTACCATCCAAAAGGCAGAGAAGAGGCCTTCTAACAACAGCCTGGTGCCCTCAGTTAACCAAGGAGAAAAGGAAGTAAACATCTTAAAAAAGGAACACTAGCTTTTTTTTTTTTTAATTCATTATTCACATGTGCATACATTATTTGGGTCATTTCTCCCTCCTGCCCCACCTCCACACCCTCCCCCTCTCCCTTCCAGGCAGAACCTGTTTCTGCGCCTTTCTCCAGTTCTATTGAAGAGTAGAAACAAGCAATAATAAGAAAGACATTAGCATTTTTCTAGTTGAGATAAGACAGCCATTCAGAGAGATTGCTAGCAATTGCTTTCATGTACAAATGTGTTACAACCCAGGTTGATTCATCTCTAACTGATCTTTACACGGTTTCCTGATCCCCTTCTCATGTTGACTCTCTGCTGCTTAGTTTCTGTATTAATTCCTCTGGAGTGGGGACATCAATGCTTTCATGTTTTGGGTTTTCTATCTAACCCCGTACCTCCTGTATATGTTCTCCCCTTGTCATGTAACCCAAGTCCTTACAACATTTGCTGTAGTTTGCCCCTAAGATCTAAGACCGCATATGAGGGAGACATATGAATTTTTGGTCTTCTGAGTCTGGCTAACCTCACTCAGAATGATGTTCTCGCCAGTTCCATCCATTTACTTGCAAACGATAAGATTTCATTTTTCTTCATGGCTGAGTACAATTCCATTATGTATAAAATGGAAGAAAATGTATAAAAACATTTTCTTGATCCATTCATCAGTAGTGGGCCATGCTTGGTTGGTTTCCATAACTTGGCTATTGTGAATAGCGCTGCAATAAACATGGGTGTGCAGGTGCCTTTGTAGTAACCTGTGTCGCACTCCTTCAGGTATATCCCCAGGAGTGGCATTGCAGATCATATGCAGGTCTATGTTTGATTTTTAAGAAGCCTCCAAATTTTTTTCCAGAGTGGTTGCACCAGCTTGCATTCCACCAAAAGGTACGAGTAGTGTTCCTTTTTCCCCACATCCTCACCACACATGTTGTTGGTGCTGTTTTGATGATGGCTATTCTAACGGGTGAGGGAATCAGTGTGGTTTTGATTTGCATTTCCCTTTATGGCTAGAGATGGTGAGCATTTTTTCATGTGTTTTTGGCAATTTGAATTTCTTCTTTGAGAAAGTTCTATTTAGTCCCAGTTGCGCATTTCTAATGGGTTCATTGATTTTGAGAGAGTTTAGTTTCTTAAGTTCCCTATATATTCTGGTTATCAGTCCTTGTCTGATACATAGCTAGCAAATATTTTTTCTCCCACTCTGTGGGTGGTCTCTTTAGCTTAGAGGCTATTTCTTTGTTGTGTGGAAGCTTTTAATTTTATGAAGTCCCATTTGTCCACTCTTTCTCTTAGTTGCTGGGCTGTTGGGGTTCTACTGAGGAAGTCCTTGCCTATACCTATTAGTTCCAGAGTGTTTCCTGCTTCCTTCCTGTATTAACTTCAGAGTTGATACTAGTAAGGGTGATAGACACAGATTAGCTTTAGTTTCTTGCAGATGGATAACCACTTTTCCCAACAACAATTTGTTGAAGAGGCTGTCTTTTCTCCATCTTATATTTTGGCACTTTGTCAAAAATAAGGTGGGTATAGTTGTGTGGATTCATATGCGGTCCTTATTCTGTTCCACCGGTCTTCATGTCTGTTTTTGTGCCAGGACCATGCTGTTTTTATTGCTATTGCTTTTGAAGTCAGGTAATGTGAGACCGCCAGCATTGCTCTTTTTGCTGAGTATTGCCTTGGCTATTTGTGCTCTCTTGTGTTTCCAAATGAAATTTAGGGTAGATTTTTCAATCTCTGTGATGAAGTCATTGGGATTTTGAATGGGAATTGCATTAACACATGTAGATTGCTTTGATAGTATAGCTATTTTTTTTAGTAAGTATTCTTCCAATCCATGAGCCACGGGAGATCTTTCCATCTTCTGTAGTCTTCCTCAATCTCTTTTCTTCAGGGGTTTATAATTCTCCTTGTAGGTCATCACATCTTTTTGTTAAGTTTACTCCTAGGTATTTGTTTTTTTTGAGGCTATTGTAAATGGAATTGTTTCATGTATTCCTTCTCAGTTTTTTCACTGTTGGTGTATAGTAAAGCTAATGATTTTTTTAAGTTGATTTTGTATCCTGCCACCTTGCTATATCTGTTTATGGTGTCTAAGAGTTTTTGGGTAGAGTTTTTTATGTCTTTAAGGTATAGGATCATATTATCTGCAAATAGGGATATTTTGACAGTTTCTTTACCTATTTGTATTCCTAAAAAGAACACTAGCTTTCAGTCCCACTGTACACCCACATTTCACTAGTGCCAACCTCACAAACTCATTTTAACTCTCCTGTGTCCTACAAGTCATCAAGGCCACCAAAGTCTTCTGAGTCCCACCTATAAGGCTAAAATATCATTTGTCCATCATAACACTCAATGACTATATATACAAAAGAAACAAATATGTATATACCAAGTCAGTGGCTTTACCTGGCACTCCTCTAAATGCGTATTTGTGAGATCATTAAAATCTGAGCCAAGCATGGTGGTGCATGTCTAATCTCAGCACTGAAAAGGCTGAGCAGGAGGGTCACAAGTACAAGGTCACCCTGGGCTACAATAGTGAGACCTTTTCTCAAACAAAATATGTAAATTTCTCCAGGAAGACTTAAGAAATGTCCAATCCTTGCAAGCAAGAGCTCTGAGTTCAAACCCTAGTATCACCTCCCCCTCCCCAAAAAATAAAAAAATAAAAAACAAGATCTTTAACAAAAACTTTAAGAAATATTTTATCCAGAATATGTTTCATTGAATCACTAAATTCGTAAAGACAGAACCAAAAGACTAATAGGCCTTTCATACCAGCTCTACTCAAGTACAACTCCAGAAAGTAACTGCTTTACCTTTCACTCTCTGAATCCCAGAAACCCTGAGAACATCCCAGAAACTCCAACAAGGTTCTGCTCTAAGGGCTGGTTTCCAAACAGACAGGTCTGTGTTGTACTAGCAGAGCACAGAAATGCCTGACCCTCCTCCAAACCCCATGCTCACTCTCCACACTACAGGTGTGTGAGCAGGACTGATCTGGCAAGTAGGGAACTCCTTGGTTCCTGCAGCAAGAAAAAACCAGAGCAACTGATAATCCTAGAACACAGGAGTACCTACCTGCTGCATTAATTCGGGCTGCTTCATCATCCCCATTGCCTACACCAGGATTCTTCGCACTACCCCAGGGCAGCCTTAGGAGTTGCAGTAGTTCTCTGTGTCGAAATGGGCCTTGGTGGAGCTGAGAGAGGATTAATATATTATATAAGAGACGAAATTTCAAAAAACAAACAGAAACCCACAAGACAGCAAGGTAAGGCTATGATCAACGCTTTCCACAGACATTCAATGAAGGAAACCAATGCTAGAGAACTCCAGCATGTAGTCAACACCCCACATTTGCCAAAAGTGGTTTTTTATCGTGGCAGCAGACTAAAGTACTAATTTTAGCTACGCTCTCTTGTGCTGGGAGTTTTAAGTCCTCCAGTGAGGTCTTTTCTCGCTGCAGTGAACAGTAACTGTCCCTCTGAAAGGAGGTACAGTCATTCTGGTGGGTAGAAATGATTTACTTTAACACAGCTCCCATCAAATCCACAAACAGGCAGCTAGCTACATGGACCACAGCAATCTTCTACCAGGAGTAAGATCATATCCCAACTGTTGCTGGTGACCTCTATGCTTTATAATGGAAAACCTGAACCTTCCTATCATAACGCTCAGACTTCCCTCCAGAAGAAGGAAGATGTCCATGAAGGCTGGTAGAACTTTCTCTCACCACTATGACGTCAAAACCACTATCTCTGCTCACCCTTTAGAAGGTTTAGATCAGGATAGAAAGCATCTCACTGATTAGGATTTATAGACTTCTCCCAGTATTTTTACAATCAAAAAGCAGATGAAGCAGTAATGCAACTAACCTATAAAAGTTAAAATAATCATGAATGGGGTGCCTCAGGATAAATAATCATTCCTGACTCTTCTAATTCATCAAGCAGTTATTCTAACAAAAACATGTACACTATGCCAGGCTTAGATATAGTTATCTTCCCAATACCCAAAAACCTGTAACACAGGCCTTTCTGCCTACCCCAAAATCTGTAAGCACAAGCCTTCCCCACAGTAACAGTCATTTCTCTGGATGACTCTTTCTAGTATACATTTATCCTGAAAAACTAAATGCTTATTACAAATCTCTCACTCACTGTTAGCAGCATCTGAAATATGAAATATAGAAGGTTACCTATGCAGTTGCCATTCTAAAACAGCTGAAGAATCAAAGTACACAGTATCTGGGGGACCACTGTGGATCCCTCATAATACGGTTCATGGTAACTGTCGATGGTTTAGTCACTTTGAAAAACAGGTAGCTCTACAAAAGGTTAAACAGAGTTACCTACCATGTGATCCCAGAATTCTATCACAATATATACTCTTGGGCTCTTCCCAAGAGAAATGAAAAAACATGTGTCCACATAGAAACTACATGAAATAATTTCACAGTGCTGCTACTCGTCAACAGTGAAAAAGCAGAAAAGTATTCAAAGACCATCAACTGACAAATGAAATAAAATGAGGACATAGGCACACAATGGAATACCTGTTCTGCAAGAAAAATGAAGTGCTAATTAGCACAGATGAACCTTTGACAACGTTATGCTAAGTAAAAGAAATCCAGACACAAAAGACCACAGTAAGTCTATGAAATTTTCATTGTATAAGAAAACTGTCCAAGAAAGGCAAAATCAATTAAAGTAGATTAGTGGTTACCTAGGGCCTGGGGAAGGGAATAAGTTCAGGGAAATGAAGAAATGACTGTACAGGAGCACGCATTGAGGTTCTAAAATGTTCTAAACATTGGTTTGTCAATAAATGGTTACACAACTCTTGAATATATTAAAAAAGAAAAATCATTAAACATTTTAAAATAGGTGAAATGTGTGGCATATAAATATATCTCAATAACACTGTCAAAGAAAGTATCAACCCATCCCTCCTACCAACCAGATGGAATCAGATCTCTCTGGGTACAGTAGGAACTTAACTAATGGTTCTCGCCACCTCTTGGAAAAGAAGGAATTAGCAATTGTAGAAAATCTATCCGCCGCCAATGTACATGTTCTATGAATGATATCTTATCTTGTATAACAACACCTTGGGAACATGGTAAGCCAATGCCTTCTGAAATTGTTTCCCCCTGGCTTCCCAACTTTACTTAGCATCAAAATTAAAGCCACAGTTTTGCGAGCTAAAGCTCTAAGGGAGGGCAGGGAAGCCCTAGAGTAAGCTGAGAAAGCTGATCTACAGACAAAAAAAGCATGATGATACACCTAGGGACAGTCCCTGAGACCGTATGAAAGATTCTTCAAGGTCCTAGACTTCTAGGACTAATTAACTTTACCATCCTAAGGGTCCTATGAAATGCCCAATTTTCAACATAACGTAAAGCCTGCTTTAATGTCGCTACTTAGTTCTAACTCCACACAACCAAAAGAGCTTTGGCAAAAGAGCATACAGTAACTCATTCAGTCTAAAAGCATGCCTCTATGGCAAGTAACTAAAACCTTCCCATTTTACAAGAAGGAGGAAATGATTGAGCAGAGATGGAGGGGCTCACAAAAACCAAAAAAAAAAGCTGCAGGAACAACGAACTGCCTAATGGCCAAAATCCATGCTCTTTCCACATGTCTGAAGATCCCCAAGCTTATTGCTACTCAAAAAATACTGATTCAGGGCTAAGAGTCTACATAACTCAGTGATAGAAAACTTGCCTAGCATTTGTGAGGTCCCGAGTTCAAACCCAAATACCAAAACATTTTTTTTTAAAAATTTAAACTGCCAGGCGCCAGCAGCTCATGCCTGTAATCCTAGCTACTCAGGAGGCAGAGATCAGGAGGATCATGGTTCGAAGCCAGCCTGGGCAAATAGTTTCTGAGACCCTACCTCAAAAAAACCCATCACACACACACACAAAAAAGGCTGGTGGAGTGACTCAAGGTGTAGGCCCTGAGTTCAAACTCAGTACCGCCAAAAATAAATAAATAAATAAATAAACAAACTCTGGTTCAATGCTGAATGAGCACTGGAGTTACTAGAAATGAGGTTTATGGTTTTTTGAGTTTTTTTCCTTACCTGCACTGCTAGAGCCGAGAGGTTTCTTCGGTTTATTCAGAGCTGGAGCAACAAGGGAGGGAGCCACTGCAGTTTCTTGACCTTGTCTGGCAGCTACAGGGTCATAGTCTTTTCCATCATAGTTTGCATCAAAAAACTTCTTGAACCACTGTACGAACTCAAAATTATCCTGAAACTTTCCTTTTACTAATTTATCCACAGGAATTATCTGCAGAAAAAAAAAAATTATTTAGCCCAAAGAGAAAGTTTTTGGCAAGTATCAAACTGGCCCATAAGTCAAATCAGCATAAAGCTCTATCAAAGGGAGAAAAATGTATTTTAGAGAACTTTATACTAAGCCCCTACAAGTTAAAAGAGCAAGTTTCATTCAGTTTGCCTTCAAAAGAGTACCAATCCCTACCCAATCCCTCAAAGTTATGAAAAGGAATCTGAAATGAAAAAGGAACAAGTATCATCTAAGTCACATATATAAATCCAAACCTTTCTAAGATGTGTCGTTGTACTATGAAGGGAAAACCCCTGCCAGGAATGGTAGTAAACACCTATAACCCTAGCTAGCACTCAGGAAACTGAAGCAGGAGAATCTCAAGTGTGAAATCAGCCCAAGCTTCAAAGCAAAGACTGTCATTCAAAAAAAAAAAGTTAATGCCAGGCATGGTGGCTTATACCTATAAAGCCAGAAGGATCAGAAGGATCACAGTTTGAAGACAGACTGGGCAAAAAGTTACTGAGACCTATCTCACAGAACAAACTGGATGTGATGGCAAATATCTATAATCCCAGCTACATGGGAGGTAGTGGTAGGAGGATGGAGGCCCAAGGCCGGCCCCAGGTTAAAATACAGCACCCTATCTGAAAAGTAACTAAAGCAAAAGGGATAAGGGCATGGATCAAGTGGTAGAGCACCTGGCTAGAAAGCTGGGGGTGGGGGGGGTAAGGGAGGGAAGAAAATACGTACAATGAATAATATGTGCCAATTAAAAATGTTTTAATATCAAAAAAGTAATATAATCTAAACTATACTCCTCTGACAATTTTTTTTTAATTACTTGGCATTGAAACATTTTCTAATAAAACATGTCTGGGGCTGGGGATATAGTTCAGTGGTAGACAGTCTGCCTAGCATGTGTGAGGCCTGGGTTAGATATGGAGTAAGACACACACACACACACACACACACACACACACACACAAATTGGGGCTGGAGGTGTGGCTCAAGCAGTAGACTGTGAAACACTGAATTAAACCCCAGTATTATAACCCCTCCCACAAAAAAAAAAATGTCTGGGTTCCCTTCAAAATAATTCAGAAGGACACAGGGTAAGATAGAGTTAAAACACAACTGACTATGATAACCACTGAGGTACACAGGGGAGGGAGTACATTACACTATTCTGCTTTTGTATACTTTTAGAATCTTTCCACATTCAAAAAATAAAGCCAATAAAAGAAAAATGAAAAAAAAAAAAACAAAAAATAAAGCCAAGCATGATGGCTCACACCTGAAATCATAGCACTAGGGTGGCTGAGGCAGGACCATCACAAGTTCAAGGCCAGCTTGGGCTACATAACAAGACCTAGGCTCAAAATGAATATAATTTCATAAAAAAAGAGTAGAAAAGTCATTGTATATAGGCTACTCTTAATCTATGCCTAAAAACTAAATGATATTCTTATAATGCAAATGCTTACTTTATACATTATACATTGCACAGAAATAAAACTAAAACAAAAATAAGAACTGATTTTAAAATTAAAAAAAAAATTATCGAGGACAGTAAGCTTTATCAAAAGAAAAGTTATCCTCCCCCAAAAATGGTTTAAAAGGATAAGCTGTTCTAATGTGGGGGAGAAAAATAGTAACTGCTTACTTTAGCATACTCTATTAACCACTAAAACAAAGGTAATTATTTGTGCTAATAAAGCTGGTAAACAATTTCTGGTACCATTAAATAACCTCAGGCACAACAGGGAGCTTCCCAGCACCCACAAGGGATCCTCCATGGCCCCTGCCATAAAAATCAAATATTTCTACTGGAAATTATTCTGCTGGGACTTACAGTGTGCTTTACATAAGTAAATCCACATTCATGAGGTTCAATTCATGGGTTCAATCCCCAGTACCAACAAAAAAAAAAAAGAAAGAAAGAAAGAAGTAAATCCAGAGATTAAAGAGCGTTAGCTCCCAAAATAGTAGAGATTAATCTTTTTTTTTTTTTTAAATCACTGGTACAGATGTAGAGTTGACTCCTCCAAATAGTTACTAAACTCAGTTGGTAAAGAAAGAAGACAAAAGGAAGCAGAGATAGGAGGAGAGAGGAAAACTTTGCTTCCTATAAATACATATTAACTAGAGAAAAGAGAGCTATATAAATTGGGGAAAGGAAAAAGAAAAATCTCAAAGTCATGGGCTACCTTCCAAATTAACCTAAAGAAAGGAATGAAATTTACTTACTTTGTCAACACCCATTCTCTTAAAACCTGCTTGTAGTATTTTGAAGTTCTGGATATATTCGTGTTCTAGCTTAGCTTGGAATTTTACTTTCTTCAAGGCAATGGAGCCAGGGAATAGCATGTCCATAAACTGACAATAGGCAGCTCCTGAGTGAACAACAACAATAAGACAATAAACACTGCATCACTGAATGCTATGAAAGAAGCATTTACCCAAATAAAATTTCACTGAATTGCTAAAAGCAAATAAAATTTAAAAAGCTATAAAGTGGTCCTATACAAACCAAAAGCTTCATTACCACTTGAATTCAAAGTCAACTTTTAAAAATCTATTAACAAAACTATAGTTTTGAACTCAGCCTTGCTCTTGCTAGCCATGCCCTCAGTCCTTTCTTTGCTTTATTTTTTCAGATGGGGTCTTATGCTTTTTGATTAGGGCCATCCTTAGACCTACGTCTTCCACATTGTTGGAATTAGAGATATATACCATCATACTCAGCTTATTAGTTGAGATGGGGGGGGTCTCACAAACTTTTTGCCCTAGCTAACCTCAAACCATGATTTTCCATTTCTGCTTACCAAGTAACTGGAATTACAGGTACGAGCCACTATGCCCTACATAAATCAACTTTTTAAAAAAATCCAAAAATGTCATAATGAAACCCAATATTTGGTACAATTAGTATAAGCTAGTAAAAAAATAAAACTACATAGATACTGGCCATCAGTGGCTCATGCCTATAATCCTAGCTACCTGGAAGTTTGAGATCGGGAAAATCACGGTTCAAGGCCAGCCTAGGCAAGTAGTCTGCAAGACCCCCAGAGCAAAAAGGACTGGAGACATGCCACAAACAGTAGAGAACCTGCTTTTGCAAGCATGAAGCCCTGAATTCAAACTCCAGTCCCATGAGGAAGAAAAGAGAAAAAAAAAAACCCCACAGGTGATTTATTAAGCATCTGTACTCACAGTACTGTTTTACATAGGACTATTTCACATGCAAAAAAGGACATTCTTCTGAAATAGCAAAATAATACACATTTACTAAAAATAAAGTATTCTCAAATCTTCCATGGGACTTAAAAGCAAGAGTCACCTGCTTCTCAGGAAAAGAACTATCACAGTTTTTATTTTAGAACTAGAAGAATGCTTAGAGACATTATAAATTTAAAAACTCACACCTGGGCTGGGAATGTAGCTCAGTGGTAGAATGCTTGCCTACACAGCTCAAGGCCCCTAAGGCAATCCTCAACACTGGGTAAAAATTTTTAAACAAGGACCAAAAATTGTGGCCCAGTATCACAGAAGCCAGAGACCAAGCTTAGGACCATATCCAAGCATTCTGATTTCTGTCCACTGCTCTTTTACACATCATTAGAAGTCCTCTTAAGATACCATGCACTTCCCAAAAGACTGTGACACAGGTTACTCCAGAGGCACCTGCACACCCATGTTTACTGAGGCACTATTCACAATAGCCAAGTTATTGGAAACAGCCAAGAGCCCCACCACTGACGAATGGATCAAGAAAAATGTGGTATCTATACAAAATGGAATTTTATGCAGCCATGAAGAAGAACGAAATGTTATCATTCGCTGGTAAATGGATGGAATTGGAGACCATCATTCTGATGAGGTCAGCCTGGCCCAAAAGACCCAAAAATCGTATGTTCTCCCTCATTATGTGGACATTAGATCAAGGGCAAACACAACAAGGGGATTGGACTTTGAGCACATGATAAAAGCGAGAGCACACAAGGGAGGGTAAGGATAGGTAAACACCTAAAAAACTAGCTAGCATTGTTGCCCTTAACGCAGAGAAACTAAAGCAGATACCTTAAAAGCAACTGAGGCCCAATAGGAAAAGGGGACCAGGAACTAGAGAAAAGGTTAGATCAAAAAGAATTAACCTAGAAGGTAACACACATGCACAGGAAATCAATGTGAGTCAATGCCCTGTATAGCTATCCTTATCTCAACCAGCAAAACCCCTTGTTCCTTCCTATTATTGCTTATACTCTCTCTACAACAAAATTAGAGATAAGGGCAAAATAGTTTCTGCTGGGTATTGAGGGGGGAGCGGGAGGGGTGGAGTGGGTGGTAAGGGAGGGGTGGGGGCAGGGGGGAGAAATAAACCAAGCCTTGTATGCACATATGAATAATAAAAGAAAAATGAAAAAAAAAAAAAAAAAAAAAGAAACTCAAAACACAAAAAAGGACTGGAGTAGCTCAAATGGTAGTGCACCTGTCTAGTAAGTGTGAGGCCCTGAGTTTAAACCCTAATACCACCAAAAAAAAAAAAAAAAAAAAAAAAAAAAAAAAAAAAAAGCTCTGGAATTACTGTTCAGTGGTAGAACACTTGCCTAATACGTATGAGGCCCTGATTTCAATCACTAGCACCCAAACTTGTTTTTAAAAATTAAATAAAACTAAAACAAGTATAATTACTGTCCTTGAATAAATATTTGAAATCTGGCTACAAGAGTATAGACTGAGAGGTCTTGTGCTGCAGTCTCTGCAGAAGAGAGTGAACACCCTCTACAGAAGCATTCTCTTTATAAGCACAGTGCCTTTTAGAAAAGGAAGAAGGGTAGAGCTGAGAGGAAGAAATGGGCAGTTCTCTGTGTGGTTCTACAGATACAGGCCTGCACATTTCCAAAGGACCTGCAGACATTCCTAGAAAAGAAGTCTAGTGGATTTCTCTTACCTGAGCACAACTGTTCAATCTTTGTCAGATTCAACTGCAGAGACTCATTGATCCAGGCCAGCATGTCATGTCGACTTAGGTTATCACTGGTGACTGATGTCGAGTATACATTCACTGCCATCTTCTACAATATGTAAGGGAAAAAGGAGTCATATTTTAGTTGGTATGCAAGTAAGGACAAGCATTTCACAGGCTTGCCGACAGCAAACCTGTGGGAATACTCAATTTTTAAGTCTGGCCTTCTTCACTGAGGGGTCAAACCAGACACTAGGATTCCAGCAAAAACCTGGACTTCCAAGCAAGATCCCCTGAAATTGTCTAACATCAGCCAGCCAAAAATTTAGGTCTCATTTTAATGAGTGATCTAAAATTATAAACTGTAAGAGGCACTAAGTAAAGGGATGAGTAAGTGCTTCATGAAAATGCACAGACAAGAACATTCCATTTAGAAAACAGGTGAAGGGCTGGTATGGAGTGTGGTAAGCATGCGCTGAGGCCTGGGTTCAATCCCCAGCATTGCCAAAAAGAAAAAACACAGGCCTGGATGGGTGTGTATGTTTGGGGGATGGGGGTGTTTCAAAGGTAGAATGCTCATCTAGCATGTACTAGGTCCCTAAATTTCCTTAAAACTGAAGAAAAAAAAATTCAGTCTAAACTTTCCAATCTAAACATCAAAATGTTTATAGAAGTTTTCTTCAGAGAGTAGGCAGTGGGCTTTTCTTAATTCTTTATACTTTTCAGTATTTCTTACATTTTCATTAAAGACTATTTCTACTTTCACCATTGGGGTGAAGGGGTAGGTCAGTGGTAGCACACTTGCCTAGCACGCACAAGGCCTGGGTTTGATCTGCAGCACCGAAAAAAAAAAAAATCTCCTTTCATAATGGTAGGACTGGAGTTCAAACTTAAGGGTTTGTGCTTGCAAAGTAGGCACTCTACCACCTAAGCAACACCCTCAGTCCATTTTGCTCCGGTTATTTTAGAGATGGGGAGCTCTCAAAACTATTTGCCCAAGTTGGCCTCAAACTTTAATTCTCCTTATCTCGGCCTCCTAAGTAGCTAGGATAGAGGTATGATACGTTCATAATTTTCAACAGTCTAGGTACTGTAAGGGTGGTGTCAAATGACAACAGTTGGGCACTGGTGGCTCACACATATAATCCTAGCAACTGAGGAGGCAGAGATCAGGAGGAGTGAGGTTCAAGGCCAGCCTAGGCAAAAAGTTCTCAAGACCCCATCTCAAAAATACACAGCACAAAAAAGGGCTGGGGGAGTGGCTCAAAAGGTAAAGTGCCTGACTAGCAAGCATAAGGTCCTGAGTTCAGGACCAGTACCACAAAAAAAAGGAAGAAAAAAAAAGGACAACCTAACAGGTGAAGATTCCTTCCTATAAATTTTCTACAGAATCTTCTGTGGACTAGAGGATATGTGAGTGCCTACTAAGCACCAGGTGCTTTCCAGACACTTGTCATTTAGCCCTAACAACACAATCACTTCATTCTCCTCATTTCCCAGGTAAAGAAAGGAAGGCCCTAAGACTGCTGGCCAATCTCATCCAGCCCATTCTCAGAAAATGCTCCCCCTCACTCTTCTGCCAGACTTTTAAATTCAAAACAATAAATGGAGGCAAGGCTCAAGTAGTAGAGGGCTTGCCTACCAAACACAAGGCCCGTGGTTTAAACCCCAATACTGCAAAAATAAAAAAATAATAAACACAGCAACAAATCTCATTTAACTTTATAATTATTTTACTTATTTACTTATTCTTTTTTGGGCAGGGGGAGTGACAGGAGAACAGGGTCTTGCGATATTGCCTAGGCTAGTCTCAAGTGAGCCTCCTGCCTCAGCCTTCAGAATACCTGAGATTACAGGTGCACACAACCACACCCTAACAATCTCACTTAATACACTACTAAATGTGGGTACCATCCTCTATGAACACCAATCCAGTCATCTCTCATGCACTCAACAAATATTTCCTAAACTCTATCACATGCTGGGCACTGTTCTAGGAACAGGAAAACAGATAAGCAAGAGAGACAAGGTGCCTGTCCACAAGGTGTTCACATTATGGTGGTAAGACGTCTGCCACAGACCCAACACACAGAGGAACATCATTTCATACCAAAAATCTAGGCAGTGAGGGTGGGGAAATGTGACAGGGAAAGCCTCTGATCAACAGCTGACTTTATCAGAAGAAAGCAGCCTCACCTGGAGGAAGGGGTCACCCAGTGAGCAAGAGTTAAACCAGGAACAAAAGTAGAAATAGCCCAGATGAGGTTAGGGCCCTGCAGACCACAGCATGAGTCTGGATTTTCTTCTATTAAAGAATCCCACTATTTTTTCACTGAACAGTCAAATGAAGTATGGCTTTAGATATAATCCTTATAAAATGCCTTCAAATCCCATTTTTTTTTTTTTTGTAGTTCTCAGGTTTGAACTCAGGGTGCCATGCTTGCTAGGCAGGCACTCTACCACTTGAGTCACTCCACCAGCCCTGTTTTTAATTTCATTTATGTATTTTGTAATTTATCTTGTTTGATCTATTGGTTATTATTTTTTTCTTTGGCAGTACTGGGGCTTGAACTCAGAGTCTCATGCTCGCTAGGGGGGCACTCTATCATTTGAGCCACTCCACCAGTAAATCCCACTTTTAATAAATGAGATTCATACAAAATTGAAAAAAAAAAAAGAAGCCCACTGTTTTAAGTAGGACAGAGTCTTGTTCTCATTAAGGTCTGAAAAAGTTCATCTTGAATTTGAGTAAAGAGACAACAAACAGGGGGAAGACTCAAGCAATATGAGATAAGGGCAAGCTACTCCAGATCTAAATGAAATCCCTGGGCAGTCATTATGAGGACATACTATAAAACAGTAGGTTTTATAGTGACCTTGACACTTATAATTTTCCTCATTTCACAAGACATCAACATTGCCAATGGGGTGATGTGTGGGATACACAGCAATTTGGAACAACCATGAGATCCCAACCCTCGGCTCTCTTGTGGCATAGCTCCCTCCACATGCATTTCCTACACTAAGCTACTATAGACCTCAAGAGTCACACACCTACAAAAGGTGAGAACCAAAAGAGATAGATGCCTCCCATCTAATGAGCAGGGATGACTGAGGTCTATAGAAGCAAATGACTTACCAGCTCTGTGTCAGACATTCCTGCCAGCATTTGACACAGTGCCTTGCACAAAGCAAGCACCCAGTAAATGTTACTTGTTTTCAGGCTATGAGGAACATGTCAGAGAAAAACTTTTTTCAGAAAGCAAATCATCAACACTCTAACATTCCCAAGATCAACTGATAAGACCACAGACCAACAAACGCAATTTAATTCCTAACTCTACTGGGAAATTAATCCCTGTGTTTCCAGAGCACTTCATTCAAACATATACAACTGGAATTACCACAGTGGACTGGCATTATCTCTTCATTTCTGAACCATTCCAGACCAGATTTAGGATGGGAGGCAACCCAGTCAATGCAGAGCTTAGAATTTCAGACCCAGCTGAGGATCTGGGTTTGTATGTGAGGCTATCTCATTAGCTGTATGACACAGCAGCCAGAAAGAATTTTCTGAATCACAAATCAGATCAAGCCTCTCTCCTGTTTAAAATCCCTGAATGAATAAATGAAAAGCAAACCGTATCAGGTACCAAGGCAAAACATCCCAACAAAAAACATAATCCCAGGCTGAGGACTTGCAATCCACCTTGGTGATATTCATATATACACCAGATATTGTGTCTTGCTACTATAAAATGTAAGCAGCTGGTAAAGCCACGTGTGTCTCCTGACCACACCCCACTTCAGAAAACATTAATAACCTTACATCATCATATAATTTAAAACTCTTTCATTAGCAATACATTAATACCTGGTCCCATGTGCTCCACAAACTCTACAGCCACTAAATACATGGGCTTAGGCACCCTGTGGATGTGCAATAAACATCCACTGACTCAGTCAATTAACTGGCTCTTCCAGGCAGTCAAAGCAGGGCCTAGTTCTCAGAACTACAGCTCCCATTCACCTTCTTCAGTAACAATTCCACTGCCTGCTCTCAATGGAAGACCCATGATTACCACACAAACCTCACCCTTCCTGGGCTCTCTGATCGAGGTTCCAACTACCACGACAACTCTACCACTACCACCACCTGCCTAGGTCTCTCTACCTGCAACAGCTCTCCTAGCAGAGTCCCTAACTCATTCTAATTCAGTGCTGGCTGAAGATAACCCTATTATTCTCAAGGCACAATCGTGAGACCTGTGGGAAGGGAGAGAGGGAGGTACCGCTATTATGACCTAGATAGAACACTTCACCTGTAAAATGGGTAAAACTCTTCTGCACAAAGTAGTGAAGATTAATGAGAATCTAAGTAAAAGCACCTAGCTGAAAATGAAAAGCAGACCACGTCCTCAGCTTCCCTATGTACCATACACTGCATTAAGCACTTGACACACCTCACAGTGGCTGCATCTGCAGGCAACGTGCTTTCTGTACCTCCAGGAGAAACCATAATAAGGAGATTAAGAGCCTGGACTTTGGAGTCACAGATGCAGATTCAGACACTTGCTGGGAAGCATAAAGCAAGTCACTTCTCTGCTCAGAGTCTCATACTCCTCTCTGTAAAATGAAGACAGGCTGAGGACTTAGCTGAGTGGTACAGTGCTCGCCTAACATGTGGAAGGCCCTGAGATCCATCCCCAGCGGTGTCAAGAAAATAAAACAAAGATACTATCTTCTAAAAACAGTGTGAATATTAAGAGATATAATGCCACACCAAGCATTGAATACACTGCCTGACAAGTGTCAATTACTAAGAAGCTATCTTCATTACCAGAGAGACATCTCATCAGTTATGGCTGGCATAACTTCCCTCAATGGGCCTTAGGATCCTCATCTCCACCATAGGGCAGAGATCAGGCTCTGCCCCACAGCACCCGAGGGCAGCTAACCAGGGACTGGGAAAGCCCTGCTGATATCACCTTGTTACACTGCCTTCCCAGTAATTACAAGAAATTAACTTGTCTGTGTATTCGTTTTCTTATTCTTAGCTCCCTCCCCACAAGGCCTACTTCTGGGGAGCATGTCTTTGCCTGTCTACTTCTGGGTATAAAGTCAGCGCTTAGCAAGGTTCCCAGTTGGCATTCGACAAACACCCTTTGAAGAAGAGCTGGCTTACGTTACGCGTGCTAAGACTTCTCTACTTAGTACTACCGTCCCCGTTTCACAGACGAGGAAGCTGAGGCCCTGAGGTTAAAGCACCAGCCCAAGGTCGGAAGAGTAGAGAGCGGAACCCAGGTCTACGAACGCCCACCCTTAGGAAACACCGCCTGCTACACTGTGGGTCTCCAGAGCTCCCTGCAGGCCCACCATGCCCACACACACCCCCCACCCGGGTCCAGGCGCGCCTGACCCGCCCCCCTCCCCCCGCCGTCCGCAAGCTCCACACCTTGGCGGCCTGGAAGCCCCAGGCCGCCGAGGAGCAGCCCGCACTTCCGGCCCCAGGCCCCACCCCCGGTAGAGCGGAACGCGCGCCCCCCGGCCCAGGCCGCGCGCGCCGGGTCACGGCCCCGCCCTTCCCCCACCCGGCCCGAACAGCACAGCCGTGTGTAGCGGCCGTCCACAGGGGCTACATGGCCGAGATCCATCATGCCACCCCCACAGCCGCCGCTCCGGGCCCGCTAGCCGACTCACCGGCTCTCGGTGGAATCGCGTCCACTGCCCGCGCCCAGCTCCGGTTCCGTCTTCGTCTGGTTCAAACCGTCCGACCCCGCCCGCTCGCCCGCCCGCGCGATGACCTCACACGCAGCCCCCTGTGACGCGCCAACGTAAGGGCTCGTCATCGCCCGCCGGCTCCTTTTATAGAGAGGGACCTGGCTGCGCGCCGGAGGTGGAGCCTAGTCTTTGATCGACAGCTGGGGTACCCAGGAGGCGGGACGCCGACTGCGAGAGCGACTGGCTCGGCTGCACCCAATGGGATCTCGTCTCAGTTGGCTTGACTCCGCCCAGAAGGCGGGGTCCAGTTACACAGCCTCCGCCGCAATAGCCAAAAAAGAATTGGTTTTACAATTAATTTCTACAAAGATGGGTTTTGGGCAAAGATACTTGGTAGGCGTTTGAGGTGATATGTCACCTCAGACACGTTCTTGCACCATTCTATCTGTAAGAGCTCTGAAATATGCGACTTATTTTCTTCTTAGTACTAGATGAAGTTGTTCTATTTGTTTATGCCTTTATTGTATGCCTTCCCATAAAGTGCATGGAAGCAAGCGCCTTCTTATTCCAGTTCTGAGATGTGTCCCAGTGTCATCAGAGCCTTGCTGAAAGAATGAATTACGCTACTTTACCGCAGAGGAAACTGAGTATCAGCGAGACCCATTGACTTACCCAGATTCACAGAGGTTGATTCAAATTTCGGCCTGATTTCTTTGTCTAGATATTATTTATTCGTGTATTCAAAAAATATTTATCTTCTGTGACCGAACAGGCCCTCGGGATTTGATGATGATGACCTTAAAACCAGACCCAGCCTCTGGCCTCTCAAAAGGTTCCAGTCTGACAGTGGAGGCAAACAGGACAGACACAATGACACAAATCCCTGTTTAATGATAAATCAGATTGATTTGTCACTGTGCTAGCAGGAGTGGTATATGCAAGTAGTGATGGCACTTGCACTGTGTGAGCAGGATTTTAGAGGTGACTTCTTTTCAAGTCTCACCCAGTTAATTGCTGAAACTCAGAGAAGCGTTCAGAGAACAATAGGTGAGCCATCTGGGCAGGAGCTGGAAGCATTTTGATATTCCAATTACCAGCACATACTGCTGGTTTCCGTGGTATGTGCTGCTCCAGGAAACTATTGCAAGAGACTCAACATCACTTCATGTGGAAGGAAAGACTTCCCAGACAGTGACACTTGTCCTGAAACATGAGGAATTATCCTGGCACAAGGTTTGGGGTAGGAAAGGCAAGCAAGAGGCAAAAGCCAGCCTTTCTATAATGGGTTTTTTCAAGAAAGGATCTCTTAAACTATTTGCCAGGGCTGGTTTGGAACAGAGACCCTCCTGATCTCTGCCTCTTGAGTAGCTAGGATGACAGGTGTGAGCCATCTGTGTCCAGAAAGCAATTATTTTAATGTGAAGTAATATCACAGATAGGACTTGTGAAATAAAACATTTACAAGCATGAAGCCCTGAGTTCAAACCCCAGTAACACTCCCCCCCAAAAAAGAGCCCTATGACTTCAAGGCCTGCCTGAATTTTACAAATGTATGACAACTTTATTGAAAAACATGGTATTGGCAGATCTCAGCTTTATTGTACTAAAAAAAATGTGTTGAGAATTTCACAAGTTCATGGAAGAAATGACAACAAAAATAGGAAGTTATCATAGAAAGTGCTTTGTGTTAACATAGATTCTACTATCTAGAGATAAATATTTATAATTATATTACTTCTAGGCCCTAATCCTGTCTAGAATAGGGACAAGGAAGACTTCCTGGAAGAGGTGAAAACTGGAGGACTATACTGGCAAGGGCAGAAAGCTGCTCCTGGCAGAGATTAACATGTACAGACTCAGGGTGAGCACTTGCTAATTCCAGTGATGCCAACCTCTGCTTTCTTTCTGCAATGCTGACACCTTGGAATAAACCACAACTCAGAGAACACAAACGGGTTATAAGATCTCAAATACCAAGCTTAAATGTATAGTTGTCTTATTAACTTGTATAGTTCGCAATTTTGAGTTTTAAAAATAAACCAGGCATGGTGACATACTTCTATAATCCCAGCACTCCTCAATGATGAGGCAGGAGAATCTAGAGATCATGGTTTAGGATCCATAGCAAGTTCCAGGCCAGCCTGGGCTACATACCAAGACCTGGTCTCAAAACAGCAAAGAGTCTGGCACCACTGGCTCATACCTGTAATCCTACCTACTCAGGAAGCAGTGATCAGGAGGCTAGAGGTTCAAAGCCAGCCTGGGCAAACAGTTCAGGAGACCCTATCTCAAAAATACCAACACAAAAAAGGGCTGGTGGAGTGGCTCAAGTGGTAGAGCACCTGCTTAGCAAGCATGAGGTACTGAGTTCAAACCCCAGTACTGACCAAAAAAGTTTTAAAAATTGAAAGTAACTAAGTGTAATATGTGATTCTAAAATGGATAACATGGATATCAAATAAGGAAAAAATTATCTATAAAGACATCATTGGAGCGATTGGCAAAATCTAAACGAGGATTGTATATGAATGCTCATTTCATGACTGTGATAAAGTTATAAGAAAATTGTAGTTTTAGGAAATACACACTAAAGGATTTGAAGGTGAAGAGGCATCACATTTACATCTGTCCAATGGTTATGTGAAAAGTGTTATTAAGAGAGGATAACAAAGCAATGCCACAAAACGTTAATAATTGTTTGGGGTTTTCTTTGGGGAGAGCAGTACTGGGGTTTGAATTTAGGGCTTCACCTATTAGGCAGACGCTCTAGTGCTTGAGCCACACCACCAGCCCATATTTGGAGAATGAGTCTTGCAACTTTTCTGTAAAAGCTTTTAAAAATTGATAAATTTTAGCAGAAAGGAAACAAAGGGAGGGAAAAAGGAAGGCAGTTAGGTTGGATCAAAGAATGAAGCAAGAAAGGTAATTATACCCCAGGCCACAAAGGGCAACAAGTCATTTCAAGCTCCAACAAAATAAAACAAGATGCAGATGATACCAAAGAGTAAAGGTTGCCAAATTCAGACCAGATTTCAACTCACAGCCCCTAAGGCTTGTGGCTGCATGACCTTGGGGAGGTGAGGAGACCTCTCAGTTCTGTTCCTATAATCCAGGCAACCAGGCCTCCCACCAACACTGTTAGAATTCTGCAGTAAGGAATAAAGCAGCTCATTTGACCAACATATCAGTCCTGAGACAGACTTTACAACTGGGCAAGCTGAGGCTCACCTAAGGTCATAAGTACTCAGCTTGCTAAAAAAAACAGTGGGACACCACACAGCCATGGAACTGCCAGTCCCTGCACCACCATCCCCAGATGAGATCCCTGGGCAAGGCCAAAGCTACCTCCCAAACAAGGAGCATCCAGGCCCCGACAATGAGGGACTTAATGCTAGATGCTGCAGTTGCTAGTTAGCATAAACAGCCCAGCTGCAATGTATCTGGGGCAATACTGCCCAGTCCATCTTGAGAACTTTATTATTCATAAGCATTCCTCCTTTCTGTCATCAGCATCCATCATGTCACTAACACTGCATTGACTGATGGCTCGTTTTCACAATACCACTTAGTACAAGCGAAGGGGCTATTTCCTGCCTAGATCTGATACTTGAAACCCTACAAAGGTTTTATTTATAATCCCTATATTCTAGATATAAGATGAAGTTACCTACTCCAAGTGAGATGGCAGTGTGCCAGATTTGACATAAACCCACAAGACTGCTTCAAAAAAGGGCCACATGGGGAGCAAACTCCAGCTTCTTCCCCGGTATGTTCCGTCGAGCTTCCACAGGTACAAAGACCATGCAGATCCAAGCAAACACAGAATTACCCCCACAGTCCTTCCAAGGCCTCTGCCAACCTGCCCCGCAAACAGGCCCTCACCTTGAGAGGTGGTCCATCTCTCTTGGGGTTCCGAGGCCGAGGCTGTTTATTTTGCTTCATCCTGTCCTGGCATTTGCTGCAGCACTGTACACAAGATGGCTTAATTGGACAAGCAAGGCCCCTGGGGTCTCAATGCCTCAGGTGGAGCCCAGGCCCAGCCTCTTGCTAATTGCCAATTGTTTCACCATAGCAACTTGCACCTGTGTGGTTCTTACAGCCTGTGGCAACTTTCTAACATAATTTGGTGTCCCATCCTTTCACTCTCAAAACTTCTCTAGGGCCACTTTGGGAACCCGACCTATGGGCACATGGTCGTGTCACAAAATTATAGCCGTGTCACAAAAGTGCCAAGTCTGCCTAGTACACACATGCCCCTCATTCATGCCTGACTCCCTCTTTACATGCACCAGCTAATCAGCTTTAGCCTCTGGAGAGGTATTTCCCTTGCCACCTCTCTGAACAAAGGCTAGAGGTAGAGTATTTTAGTCTGGGGTTACAGCTCACTGAGAACTGCTTTTCCCCCAAGGGCTATGCTGGGATCACAGAGCCATTCCCAACCAGTGCCTGATTGAGAACGACAAAATGGCAGCAGTCAAATAGGGTGCAGAATTCCACAGAAGCAGGAGGAACTGCGTATCTGTGCTGGTGTTCTTGTAGGTGGTCATCACCTTAGTTAGCTGCCTCAGAAGTGCAGAGAGGGATATTCCAAACACCAAGCCTTTGAATGTCAACCAAGCTTGGGAACCAAGATTTAGATGCCCATTCACTAGCCCAGTGTGGTCCCAAGCAATCACGATATCACAAGCCCTGTAGGAGCTGATGATGTAGAATTGAGGACACTGCTTGGGCCCCATGGCATCCCACAGTGCTTGAATGCATGTTATGACCTAGCTCAATCACCAACCCTTACACTTCAGCCCAGTCCTCCAAAGCCCCACCCACCTGGCCTGTAAAAGAACAAAATGGACACCAGACTATTATAGAGAAATACTGATTTTAATTAAACAGAATAAGGTAAACTCTAGGCAGTGATCTTTCGGTCTAAAAATTAGCAAAAACTGTTGAAGCAAGGCACAATATTTCCCCATTCTTGTTACGTGGCTCCAGTAACCAAAATAAAAAAAAATTGTAATGAAAAACACATAAAAATAGAAGTCAAATTTT